TATATATATATCCCTAATGTTATGACTCTGCTTGTGCTCTTTTCTTGTGATGAAGGTCCGTTTCTTGTGAAGGGAGGGTATTATGTATTTTCCATGAAAATAATTCAATTCAAAACCACAATTAAGTAACTATCTTACCTTCAGCTAAGAAAAAAACCAACCCATATCCTGTATAATATTTAGTTTTATAGCTCCATGCTATAAAGAACCTGTTATAATTTCTAATGAAGCAGCAGCTAACCACTCCCTCCTAGCGGCAGCTGGATGAATGTCCCACCTGCTGCAGCTGAGATCATGTGTTTGTCAGAGGATACTGTGATGACAAACAGAATAAGCCATATTGTAATTAGTGTGAAAACACGTGTGTGTGTTATGAAATGATAGCTGTATTCTCTCTCTGTCAAACAGCGGAGGAGTGTGTGTCGTACTGCCAGCCCTCGCAGGTTAAAGTCACGATGAATCTGGAGACCTACTGTCTSAAGGATTATGGTTAGTGTTGAATTTTTATATAGTTTTGTTCTAATAATTAAGAAATGTTGATGAAAAACTGATTTTTTTTAAACAGAGAAGTAATGATAATGAATGTGTTTCAGTGCTGAAGGTGCAGGTGAAAGGGATGGAGCGTTCAGGTCCATGGTGGCAGTTCTCCATCTCCATACAAACGGTTTTCCGAACGGGGTCCAACTCGCGTATCCGCAAGGGCCCCCAGTCCCTTTGGGTGCCGGACCGGGACCTGGGCTGCGGYTGCCCGGCCCTCCACGTGGGTCGGACATTCCTCCTGATCGGCGCCGAGGAAGGAGAGCGGAGCTGGGGTCCGGAGGAGAGTCGCCTGGTGGCGGATCGCTCCACTCTGGCTCTCCAGTGGCGGGAACACTGGAGCCCCAAACTCAGGGGCTTCCGGGGGCAGGACAAGAGAGGCCGCTGCCCTCCAAAGACCCCAATTCACCACCATCACCATGGCAGGGGGTCCTCAAAAACCCATTCAGGGTACATCCCCCCTCACCTGCTGATTGAGAAAGACTCCAGTCATCACGATGACGACAAACACACAACGAAGGTGGAAGAGACTCAAAAGCGAGTGACACCGCCAAAACTTACACGTAACTTTAAATCCACAGAGACACCACCTTCTTCTTCTACTACTACTCCTATTCTGGTGTGTTCAACTCCAGATCCTGAATAAGGTTTTTTTTTTCTTGGAACTACAACTAAATGAACACAGAAAATATTTTAAGATGGACTTGAATCAGCTCTTTTTATTTTTTTTGAGACATTTTTAGAAAATATTAGATTTTTTTTGTCTAATTTGGAAGGAACACCAAGGACCGAACACCCCGCCATGAAGAATACCCCACGCCTGCTTCAGGTCTCAGCTGCTTTACAGAGAATCATTATTACTGATCTCCAGATTAAACAGATAAAAGAAAAAAAACTACAGTGAAATATGAGTGTTTGAATTTTACCACTTGTTTTTCTAAAAACCTATTTAAAAAAATGAAAATCTAAAACATAATGTTTCAT